CCAGTACGACAAAGAATGTCTGCCTTTTTCTCTGGCTTGTTGCTCAAGGGAATAAAGGCCTTATGTTCTCCCAACCTACAAGCCTATCCTTGTAGTGAGATGAAAGAAAGAGATCGATTCTCTGAGATTCCTTTTTAGTTTTTTCTTTAACATTACGGAGGTTTTTCATCCAATTTTAGTTTGTTTGTCTTCTGCATTTGGTTGTGAAGATTATTTCAACAGATTGATGGGAACAGATAAAGATAGTTTTAGAATTCACCTTTAGCAATCACAAATATGATTTCTTTTGTAATGAGTGGATGGGAGGATGGTTCATGAAGAAGGTGTTAAAAAATGTTGCAACTTGAGTGTCTGGTTTGGAAGGATGTTCCATGAAGGGCATGATAAAAAGGTGGAAACTGGAGTGTCAGCTTGGCTTCCATTTTGCACTTTACTTTTCCTGTTAATAGTTCAAATCAGGCACAGTCATTTAGGGATTTGGCTCTCTTTTTGTGTCCTAAAATTTCTGTAAGTTTACTTATCATTTTATAGTTTAAACCATTAGGTGTGTCAAAACCTAACCAGTATTGTGTTATTGGCAGAGCCTTGTTTACCGTTCAATTTTTGTCTATAAACGTCAACTATCTGTCGTATCTTTGGTGGATTCCATTGAGGGGCTGTTTTCTAACCTCTATCTTTCTGTTGGACACCTTGGGATGTAATTTCTCTTGAATGATAAGCTTCTCTACTTTGTTTATGGTGCTAGCCCAATATGGTTTGTGCTATTTCTTGGTTGTAACTACTTTTTATCGTTAAGTCAAATTGCCAGGAGAACTGCACTATATGTTTTAGGAATATGGTGAGTCCAATTTCGACTTTCAAGACTAGATTAATAACAATTCTGGTGCAATGTTTTCTTTTGCTTCACGTTTGGAAGGATCTTTTATTCAAGTTTTTGAAGGCCAGCTTCCTTTAATGTCGATTTTGTTATTATTTTGTAGTTCACTGATTGATGGTGGCCTCTTTTAGGTAACATCTCCATACGGGAACAATCTTCATCTCTCGGAGAACGTAACGCATGGTCAGTTTGCGTTTACAACTACTGAGGCTGGTAACTACCTAGCATGTTTCTGGCTGACTGACCTCAAGCATGAAGCTGGGGTAGAGATAAGTGTCAACCTCGACTGGAGAACTGGGATTGCAGCCAAGGATTGGGAATCAGTTGCAAGAAAGGAGAAGATTGAGGTAACTACTTCGTCTTCACCTTTCCATATTTCACTACAACTTGTAACATCCATTCCTAATCCTAATCCCAATATCATTCTCGTATAGGGTGTCGAACTCGAGCTGAGGAAACTCGAGGGTGCAGTCGAAGCCATCCATGAAAATCTACTCTATCTCAAGGACAGGTAACGAGCTATCATAGTGGAACTGATTGCTTCTACCAAAATCTAGCCAATTTGATTTATATGATTTTGGATTCTTACAGGGAAGCCGATATGAGGACAGTGAGTGAGAGAACAAACGCACGAGTTGCGTGGTATAGTATCATGTCGTTGGGTGTCTGCATAGTTGCTTCTATTTTTCAGATATGGTACTTGAAGCGATTCTTTCAGAAGAAAAAGCTTATCTAGAGAAATTGTTGGTGTAATGTTGTTGCAGAAGAGAGTTTGGCAACTTATTTAGTCTTCTTTGGTCATACAAAGTAGAAAAGTTTTGACACCAACTGCAAACCATGCAGGTTTGTTTATATTTTGTATTTCAGTTTCTTGTTTCGCTGTTGATTCGGTTGTTTAAAGCTGAATAGAATCTAGTGAGTTTTGATTCTTGAGACTCATCATTGTTCACTATCCTTTATATGACTAGGAATTTTGGTGAAACTGAAGGACATAAATCATACCAATTACCATGATTTTATCAAATTGTGGCCATATAAGAAATGATAAAAAA